TCATTAGTGATTGATGGGGGAGGGCATCGCCCATTGTGGGTCGTTCTATCTCTGGGATGGTGGTCCTAGGTTCTATAAGAAAGACTAAGCAAGACATGAGGAGCAAGCCAGTAAGTAAGCAGCACCCCTCTGTGGCCCCTGCATCATCTCCTGCCTCCAGGATCCTGCCCGGTTTGAGTTCCTGCCCTGACTTCCCTTAATGGTGAGCTCTTACTTGAAAGTATAATGAAATGAAGCAAAATCTTTCCTCCCAAGTTGCTTCAGCAATAGTGTTTTATTGCAGCAATGGGAACCTAAACAAAGATACCATGTAACACAAATAAATAGATGGATAGATAGATAGATAGATAGTAGATAGATAGATGATAGATGGATGATACACATATAAATAGATAACAAATATAAAATAAACATGGCGGCAAAGCAGTTCTGCTGCATACCTAAACTTAAAATTAATGCATTTTACTATAAAAGAAACTTTAAGTCTATAAATATTTGTTACCTATCTGTAGCACCATAGGACAGAAGTGGAGGGAGGAGTTCATGAAGCTGCAGGAGCTGAGGCTGAGGCCAGAGGATGAAGGGTTTTAGTCTAGCCTGGGACACATAGTATAACCCTATCTGGCCTGGAACAAATACTACGACCCTGTCTTGAAAAAGCAAACCAGCAAACACTAATAACTTGGTGAGTGCTGTTTAAATTAGTCAGTCATGTTCCCCTCTGCTCTGTACCCTGTGAGTTTGTCAACCGTCACCATAGTAATTGAAGGCTGAGGGTACACTTAGCTGGTATGTCTGTGAGAAATAACTTTGATTACCCCCGGGCTCCTGTCTGGAAATTTCATCACCGCGCTGGAAAACAAAGAGTGCACAGCAGAACTGACTCTGCTTTTCTTGTCTGTGCATGATTATATTCTCATTTCCTTACCAAGGCTTCCCCCCAGGGAGATCTGTCATGATTAACTAGTGACAATAACTTGTTTATGATGTTCTTCTATACTTATCCAAAGATCTTGCAATGTATCTTCGAGTTGATTCCCTATTCCCACCGCTACTTCTTCCTTCCATTCTTCACTTACTGTCTCCTTATTAATACTCACTGAATCCACTCAGTGCTGTTTGTATGGGTGTGGATATAGGATCATCTACCTGATCACGGATAGTTTCAGGGTCTTCATCTATGAAGAAAGTATTCACTTTCCTCCATCAATTGCTCATAACTTCTCAGCTAGAGATGTAGCTTCACAAGCTCCTCCTCTACCTCTCTCTTAGCCGTTGCTCTATTGATGTGAAAAGACCTCATGATCAAGGCAGCTTATAAAAGAAATCATTTAACTGGGAGTGTGCTTACAGTTTCAGAGGGTTAGTGCATGGTCAACATCATGGCAGAGGAAATGGGCATGGTCCCGGGGCAGTAGCTGAGACCTTACATCATGATCCACAGGCAGCAGGCAGAGGGGGGAGGGAAAGAGGGAGGGAGAAGGAGGGAGGGAAAAGAAGGAGGAGGAGAGGAGGGGAGAGGAAAGGAGAGGAGAGGAGAGTAGGGAGAGGAGAGACAGATGGACAGACAGACAGACAGACAAAGCCTGGTTTGGGCTTTTGAAACCTCAAAGCCCCATCTCTAGTGACACAATTCTTTCAATAAGGCTACACCTCCTACTCTTTCAAAAGAACAGTTCGAACAGCTGGGGATCAAACACTCAAATACATTAACCTAAGAGGGATGCTTTCCTCGAATCTAGTACACCTTCTGGTTGGGATCATAACTGTCCTGATCTTACATAGATCTTATGTAGTCACAGCCACTGAAAGTTCTTTTGCACAATAGCCTCATCCTGTCCAGCAAATAATGTTTTGCTGCAGATGTACACTACTTCTGCCTCTTAAAATCCAATGCTTCCCAAAGAGTTCCACTAACTGGGGACCAAATATTAAAAACCATGAACCTCTGGGGGCCTTTTCTATTACAGCTAACACAGTGAGACCCTGAGTTTTAAGGCCCATAGAACTGTACTTATTAAAGACTTTTTGGTGACAAATCCCAATAAATTCTCTAGTTGAACCCATTTGATTTGGGTTTCCTATCTCTTGCAACCCACAATATGCAAAACCAAGTACAACTGCTTCTATTTTGCTATGTGCATACGTACATATATATGCACACACACTCATAAGCATACACAATTCTTAAAATACGTGTTTCAAAGCAGAAACGTTAATGAGAAGAACACCCTGCATCTTAATTATTTTTCTCGGGCCATGACAAAACACTGCGACAAAGGCAACTTATAAAAGAAAGCATTTAATTTTAGTCTCATGGTTCCAAAGAGTTTGTTCATGACTACCATGGTACGGTGCATGGCAGAAGTCAGGCAGGAAAGGCTGGAGCAGTAGGTAGCAGAATGTCTACATCTGATTCACAGGCAAGAAGTCAAGAAAGAGAGAGCCAAGCTCACTCTCAGTAACATATCTCCTCCAACAAGACAACACCACCTAATTCTCTGCAAACAGTTCCACCAATGGAGGACAGAGTATTTAAACATATGAAGTCTATGGGACCATTCTCTTTCAAACCACTACACCTTGGAAGGATTTTTTAAAAAGGGGAAGTTAGCTTTATTGCCATATTGTTTTCAACAAGAATACATTACTTGTGTAACTAAACATCCAATAAGCATAATATTGGGCTCCCAACTGCTCATCCCTTCTTCCAGATCAAAGTCTTCTTCTTCTTTTGTGTGGTACTGAGTATTGGATTTGGAGCCTAATGTATGCTAGGCAAACATTCTCTAGTTACATGTTTATCCCAACAACAAACATATTTCTGCTGGATCAATTACCAGTGTCTCAGCCTGGTGTTCAGAATGGGTAGCAATATATCCCAAAACTCTCTTCTTTTCCTCTTCTACAGTGAGTCCTAGTTTTTTGGGATTGTGTAAATAAATGTCCTTAAACTTTGGGATTTAGGACTCACTTAGCAAATCAATAATGATGCCTACACTTTATCTCGATTAGCAATTAACTGCAATTTGAAAGTGATTTTTTTTGTACCCTGGTCAATGAGTACTTGCTAAGCCTCTGTAAATGACAGAACCTGGTTCACAAAATGACCTGGTGATTTTAAACGTTTTGTGAAATATTGATGGAGATGTATTCTGCTTTGTCTCAGCCCCCGAACTTTCGATTTCCCCATGAAGTTAAATTAGAAGACGCTACAAGGAACTCTATTTTAATAGAAATACGTGGTGCCTAATTGAACTTGGCTCCTGCCAAGAGCCCTGAAGAGCACTATTTGGCCATCGGATGTAAGACTAACGTCACATTTCCTTCCAAGGTAACCTAACCTCAGGAATATAAATTACGAGGTGTAGATGATTTTAAGGAGTAGTTACTTCAGTGTTCTCGAACGCCGAAGGTGAATTTGAAGCATCTAGCGAGTCGTGAGACAGTGTTCACTATGCCAGCTGGATTTGAATTCAGCTTGTTTCAACTCAACAAGAAACTTGGGGAGCTCTTCTCTGCAAAAGCTACGTGAATAGGCTGACCACCAGGGGGCGCAGTTTTGCTGTTGTGGGCTTGGGAAAGACTGGAACCTGAATCTTCTGAAGTCTAAGTTACTAAGTTTCGTTATTTGAGAGACTAAGTCTGTGTTTAATCTCTCCTTGGGAAGATGGTAAAACCTTGCTTTAAAGCTACACGATACATTTAAAGTTATTCCTCTGAGATAATTCCCCCCCCCCATTTTTTCCCCCTCGTGGCTGGAAAGTGAGATATTTTGGAGACTGAAAATCAAGGTGAAAGGGGCATTGGGAAAGTCTAATAACTTCATAGTGTAATAAGGATGACAGAAACAATTTCTCTGACGGAAACAAGCTTAAACCACATGAATAGGGCTCATGCTAAGAAACATTTGTTCAAATAAGGGAACTAAGTGAGGACAGGAATTGTTCATGGAAACCATGAGTTTTAAATTTCTTTCTCATTAAAATCTGGTGCCCTACACCTGAAGAAAGAGACTGCAACAGAAAGATGCTTGATTGGTCTTTATCTCCGGAAATGAAACAACATAAAATAATTTACAGAATATTTAAATCAACAGGAGGTTTCCAAACCAGCCAACAACTGGCAATTAGCAATTAAAACAGTCATCCTCAAACGATTTGAAATTACTTTGTTTCCGGCAAATGGAGCATTTAAAATAGCTTCTCCAAATCAAGGGGCAGCAGCAGGAATTGCCAGGGAGAAGCTATCTTTTTGGGCTCCCATGCTGGGCAAGAAACGTGTCAATTGCCTATCACACAACAAACCAGATCCTTGGGTTTCCTTGTTCCACTTGGAGTAAGCTAGTCAGGTGAGAGTGTGATGTATATATATATATATGCACACTTAAAGTTGCTTTTCCTTTGGAGATCCACAGGAAGCCTTAGGAGACTCCCTTGGGTGATAAGTTCTCTCTCTCTCTCTCTCTCTCTCTCTCTCTCTCTCTCTCTCTCTCTCCCTCCCTCCCTCCCTCCCTCCCTCCCTTCCCTCCCTCCCTCCCTCCCTCTCTCTCTCCTCAGAGAATCAAGATGCAAAGGATTTTTTAGAATCAGGGAGAAAGGAAACTAAAGAAACCAGAGATATCACGGTCCCAAACTGCTCCAAAACAAACTAATTGCAAGAGAGCAACGGGACACATACTGCAAAAGGACAGAAGTAGGTGGGTGCCAGGCAGTCTCAGCAACCTCGGATTGCAGGCAGGAGGGCACAAGGATACTCTCACCTGATCCTTAGCCTGCCGTGAGCCTCCTCCTTCTGGACAGCAGCTCAGCTGCAGCCAGAGGGCAAACTTCCATGTGCCCGGGTAAGTCGATACTCCATAAGGAGCTCTTCCTCCAGGGGCCCACCGCTTAACCCCGCCCACAGAGAGAGGTGGCCGCGCCCAGGGGAGGAGCTCTTCCCTAGCCCCGCCCTCCAGAGGAGGCGGATCCCGTTGGCCCCTCCCCTCTAAGCGGCCAAGTGACGCACGACCCCGCCCCCGGCCGCTCCGCAGCAGTGCCAGCCTAGCAGAGTCTGCGAGGCGGGCAGCTGAGGTGGCGGAGGAGCAGCAGCTCCAGCAGCCGGCAAGCGAGCGCCCGGCGCCCCACGGAACTTCCCCGCAGCCGCCCCGGCGGCGTCCGCCTGTCCCATGTCCCGCAAGGCGAGCGAGGACGTGGAGTACACGCTGCGCAGCCTGAGCAGCCTGATGGGCGAGAGGCGCCGCCGGCAGCAGGAGCCCGGGGCGCCGGGCGGGGAGCGCAGCCTCCTGGCCGCCGAGTCGGCCGCCAGCCTGCAGGGCGCGGAGCTGGAGCGCGCGGCGCGCAGGCAGTTCCAGCGAGATGAGACCCCCGCCTTCGTGTACGCGGCCGCCGCCTTCTCGGCGCTCGGCGGCTTCCTGTTCGGCTACGACACCGGCGTGGTGTCGGGGGCCATGCTGCTGCTGCGGCGCCAGATGCGCCTGGGCGCGATGTGGCAGGAGCTGCTGGTGTCGGGCGCGGTGGGCGCGGCCGCCGTCGCGGCGCTGGCCGGAGGGGCCCTGAACGGCGCCCTCGGTCGGCGCAGCGCCATCCTGCTGGCCAGCGCCCTGTGCACCGTGGGCTCCGCCGTGCTGGCCGCCGCCGCCAACAAGGAGACGCTGCTGGCCGGTCGCCTGGTCGTGGGGCTCGGCATCGGTGAGTGGCCGCGCCCGCGAGCCCCACTGACCCCTGCTCTCCCCTGCTCCGCGGTCTTTCTAAGGGGCTCGGTGTCAACGAGCGCCCTGGTGGCTGTGAAGGATGCGCTTCCTTCTTTCGGATTCCCACGTGGAATCTGCGGTCGCCTGCGGGTCAGTCAGCTCCGGACAATCTGGAGCAATTCTAGAAACCCCAGCTTCCCCTGACCTGGCCTAACCTGAGGCCGCTTCTTGAGTTTAGGAGGGTCCTCACATCCCTGCCATGCCCCGAGAGTGCTATCCTCACTGCCAGCCCTCCTTTAGGATGTTCAGCCCACCCAGCTTTAGACGAACTGCAATAATTTGTAGAATCAAGGAGTTTTGAACTCCGAAATTCCTGCTCCGTTCCAGTTCCTCTTCTCTGCATTGGATCATCTTTAGATAGAACATTATTTCTTCTCCTGGGTTTGTGCTCTGTGGTTGACTTTCAACCTTTCCCCTTTTCTAGATGAAGTCTCTGGGGGCGCGGGGCGGGCCCCCCCGCCAGGAGGGGGGGTTTGGGGGAACAAGCGGCATTGGTGTTTTGCCTTCTCTGCTTTTTCCATATGGGAACTAAATTATCTAGTAAAGGTCATACTCATCTCCTAAATTCATTTAGGAGCTACTCCTGTGGATAGATGCCCAGCAAGATAGATACTTGCAATTTACTTTAGAAATGAAGAGATTTAGGTACTCTGGGCATTGATTTTTTTTTCTTTTTTCTTTGTTCCACCCTGTTTGCTGAGTGGGGGGGGGGTCCTATTGGTGTGCTCTTGGCAGAGGGACGCTGTTTGGGATGTGCCCAGTGTTATTAGAAAGCACTTTTAAAGGGAGAATGGGAAGTTGTGACTTAAATCTCATTGGTAGTTTTCCAAGACACACCACTGATGGTGCTTGGTAAAATGTTTCCTTTTGTAATTCAGTTCCCTTTAGGGTACTGTTAAAGTGTTGCTTCCCTATGGGAGGGCTAGAGAGATACCTGGAGCTTCCCTGAGCTGACCCCTAGCTGCTGTTTGAGGTTGCTGCTCTTCACCCTTCTGGATAGGTCTTTAAGGGAAAGCACATTTATTCATTCAACTCTGCCTGTAGGAGCTGCAAGCCTAAAACCCCGGCTCATTCACTGTGCTTGTGTCCCAAATCACCTACTTTGCTTTTTCGAGTAATTACTGAAGCCAGGCAAGGCTCTCTGTGAAATGTGGATTTGGCAAAGGAAGGTCCAGATGACCACCAAACAGACAAAACAGTGAAAATCCACTCTCTGTGTAGAAATGCCCTGTGCCTGTAGAATCCTTCAACAAGTAACCCGTCTAGGACTCTAATCAGCATCATCTGCTTAGGATACAGATCCTTTCTTACGCCCCCACCTTCTTTTCTCCCCTTGGCATAGAAATAACACTTCAGTTATCAAGGTCTCGCTATTAATTCCCAGACTTATATTTTGAGATTGATGTTTTGCAGATGTGTCTCAATGAAACCTCTGAGTATCCGCTGACGATTGAAGCAATATGTTGATTCTTGCCTGACAGCCCTGAGGCCCTGTCAGGGTCCTTTCAGATGTAGGATACAGAATTGTAAGGAGAGCATACTCTACAGTTGGCTTAGCAAATGGGTCTAAAAAGGCAGATGGAACTGGCTCTCATCCCTTAGAACAGTGCTTCTCAACCTTCCTAATGCTGTGGCCCTTTAATACAGTTCCTCATGTTGCGATGACCCCCAGCCATAAAATTATTTTGTTGCTACTTCATAACTGTAATTTTGCTACTTCTATAAATATGTCATATCTGATATGCAGGATATCTGATAATCGACCCCAAAGGGGACTTGACCTACAGGTTGAGAACCACCACTGTCTTAGGAGGAGAGGCTCAGAGGTGGTGGGTGGGTAGAACGGGAGATACAGTGAGCTCCACGGAGAGAAGCCAGGTCTTACTGATGAAAATGACATTTTGAGAGAGGAGGAGGATGTGGATGCTGGAGATGAGGAAAGGGCTGTCTAAGCAAGGGGGTAAATACAGACGGAAAGAGGATGGTGTACCCCAGGGAGCAGAGATGCCACCGTGAGAACAGCCAGGCAGGAACTGGATGCCTGGAGGAAGAGAAGAGGTGTGACGTCAGACACTGTCTTGGACACGGGATCCGTAAAATTCAGGAAAGAAAAAAAAACACACACACTTCAAGTTTAAATTAGTGGTTAAGCAGAAAGTTTCAAATATAAAGACCTTTGTAACTCACAGATCGCCATCCGAGAGAACTTTTAGTTCTTTTTAGGTGAAGGGAAATGGGGCTCTAACCTGAGTGTTTTGTGGACATTGTTGTAGTTTGTTTGGGGAGACAATAAATCAGTTTTGTCTGTTTAGAACACTAACTCAGGGCTTACTCTGTGGTCTCTTTTAAAACAGGTAATCTTTATATGTGGTCAGTGTTTTTTTATTGTTGTTATTGGGTTTTGTTGGTGGTGGTGTTTTTGGTTTTTGTTTTGTTTTGTTGGTTTTGTCTTGTGATAATTTAGTAAATGCCAAGTAACAAAACATGTCTTGTGCCATTTCTAGACAAGTTCTCCATGATAATTTCTCTGTCCAGATTTACCCTGGGGAAATATAAGGGGCTTAGGATCAGGGATTTTGTTCATGTTGTAAATTTACAAATTTGTGTTCCTGAAACCTAGAAGAAACATGTTGAGTTCTTGAATGAACGACAAGCAGGAATGTCACAAATGAAGTGAAAATTTCGTTGCTGGTGTGGAATTTAATTTAAAACTGTCCTTTCAAAAATAAAATTAGTGCCTTATCAAAATAGCTTAAAGGTCATCTAAAGGTTTGAATGTTGCACTTTGATGAAATCATTCATTCATTTATTCAATGATTAATGGTTTAGCTTCCATGTTAAGTTCTGTCAGATTCCGGTTAGGGAGTAAATAGCTAAACATGAAGCCCACCCTGCAGGTGTTTATCCTTGAACAGAGCAGAAAGACACATTAATAGCTGTCACAAAATAATAGAGGGTTCTCTAAATGCCAGAGAAACGGGGAGAGCAGATCATTCTTTGTTTTGACTGTGCGTAAAGAAAAGATACCAGAGGGGCTGGAGAGCTGGCTCAGTGGTTAAGAGCCTGTTCTGCTCTTGCTGGAGTCCAGTCCCCAGTATCCATGTTGTGCAGATCACAACCACGTATAACTCATACCTCCAACTTCGAGGAATCATTGGGGCTGTTACAATGTCACCCTAATGCACCTAGACCCATACAGACACATTCATACCTAACTAAAACTAAACATTGAAAAGGGGTCAGGATTAAGAAAGGTTTTTAGAGAAGCAATATTTAAGTTAGAGGCTTAAAGACAAGTCAGAGTCATGCAGATGATGTAGGCAGGAAGTGAGAGTGCTGCTTTCCTACCTCTTACCTCCCGTGAAACCAGGTCTCCTCTTGCTGGAGGTGGAAACTTTGCAGCATTTCCCTGAAAAGTTCACAGACACGAAAATCAGGATTGCGTTAGCGAGATCTCAAAAGGCTTCCTTGTTCTGTTTGCCTTTACTAGACATTTAAAGTGGAGCTCACTGTAGGAGTGCAGTCATAGAAAAGCCAGGGTTGGAAGTGTGGATGAGTGAGAGGCTGGGAGGGGATCATCTGCCTGAGATGTCACCAGGAGAGTCTGTTTAAAGACTGTGTGGGGATAGTCACTGTAGGTCTTGAGGCTTCAGTGAGACTGTAGTTCCATGAAGCTTTTCTAAATCTCCCTTTCCTCTTTCCATTCTGCTCTTTAGCCCTTCTCCCTTTCTTTCCTACTTTCTTGTCTCTTGGAAGATTTTTAGTGTCAGAAATTCCTTGCAGAGTTGGTAGCCACGAGGTGAGTATAGTACTTATAGGCACCGGTTGGTAAAGCGCCCATGGGTCTCTTCAAGTAGAGATCTTTTAAAGAGAAAACTTTTGACCAGAGAATGTAGTTACTGATCTGTGTTCAGCGAGCCTTGAAGACAAGCCTGAGAAAAGAAGGATATCTGTGCTGTTTTGGGTCAGAGAAATCTATTTTCTTGGTGAGTTATAGCAAAATAATGTACTGAATGCCGGTGTGCTTGCACAGGGCAAACTTTTAGTCTTTTTATTTTGCCACAGTCAGCACAGGGACCAGACTTTATTATTGTCCCTGGTTTTTGTCTTTTTAAACTGGAAGACTTAGCTAAAATAGGACACATATTTTTGATTGGTGTGCCCACACATGAGGTCCGTTTTGTAGGTGTCTTTATTCTTTGATTTTTTTTCTTAAGCCAGGGTATATTTATAATAATATTTTAAAATAAAATGATTGAGGGGCTGGAGAGAAGCCTCAGCAGTTAAGAATATATACTGCTCTTGCAGAGGACCTTAGTTTGGTTCCCAGTACCCACTTTGGAGAGCTCACTACTGCCTGGGAATCCAGCCTTTGAGGCCATTACATGTATGTACATGTACTTCCTCTCCATACATATAATAAAAATAATAAAATTAATCTAGTAAAAAAAATAAGAGTTTTCTTGAGTTTGTTTTCTGTGGCCCTGTGTTTCTCCTGCTTATCATGTTTTGAAACTGCAGAGTATAGGAATTTGGGCTCCGGCTCTGGTGCTCCTGGTGACTGATGTTACAGTGTTCTCGGAGGAAATATCAAGGTACTGAAATCATGAGATTCACTGCTATTCAGACATTTTTGAGAAGTGACATCACAGCAATTTACATAGCCCAGAGAAGTGACATTATAGTAATTTACATAGCCCTGAGAAGTGACATCACAGAAATCTACATTGTTCAGAGAGGTGACATCACAACAATTTACAGAACCCAGAGAAGTGACATCACAGCAATTTACACAGACCAGAGAAGTGACATCACAGCAATTTACATAGCCCTGAGAAACGACATCACAGGAATGTACAAACCCAGAGAAGTGACATCACAGCAATTTACATAGCTCAGAGAAGTGATATCACAGTCATTTACATAGCCCAGAGAAGT